ACCATCTAGTTCTTCTGGTCTCAGGCTGATGAAGTCTCTGGTTTATGTGGTCCTTTCTGTCTCCTGGGCTACTACTTTCCTTGTGTCTTTGGTGTTCTTCATTTTCCTTTACTCCAGGTGGTTGGGACCAATTGATGCATCTTGGATGGCTACTTGCAAGTTTTTAAGACCCCAGATGCCACTCACCAAAGTACCCCAGGAATTTCTTACTCTCCGACTAGTACAACTCAGGCCTCAGCAGTACATCAAAGCTACTGTTTAAGTGTTTCTATGAGTTTATGGCTTTAGCAGCTTCTGCTCCAGCTAAGCTGAACTCAGCTGTGTTTCTTTGTACTCTCCTGTTTCTCTTGATTTTGGGTAGCAGTTTGCCCTGTGACCTCAGTTCTCTGAAGAATCCAAGAAAAGTTGTTGATTTTTGCATTGTTCAGCTTTTTTCTTGTAAGGAGTGACAACTTCCATGCTCTTTACATGTTGGAGCTCAAACTGGAGGTCTGAGTAAGATGTTAATTGCAGACATCTTTGTAGTAAATTACTTGGAAGGCTAAAGTGATTTTGTGCTTCTGTCGAATCATTGCTTTAGCCTTTCTTTCACAGTTCTGTAATATATTTTAAGCAACTTGATTTTTCAACAGGTGTCAGGAAGAAGGCGCATTTTGGTAGCATACATGATGCAGTACGAACTGGAGATGTACAGCAGCTTTCAGAAATAGTGGAACATGGAGCCAGTATTAATGAAGTTGATGCCATCCATAAATTTACCCCTTTACATTGGGCAGCACATTCTGGAAGCTTGGAGGTAAGAAGCTATATGAATTATTAAACTCAGGTAAGTTTACAGTTGTAGGAGTTTTGTAAATTCAGCAAACAGGGCTGAGACTTTATGTTAGGCACTGCAAATAGTCTTCATTTTTATCAGTCTACTATTTGGATGTTCTGGTTACTTTGGCTTCATTAACAAATTACCTCAAAACTTAGTGGCATAAAACAATCATTTGTTTATGTTCATCAGTGGACCAGGAATTTGGACCATGGGGACAACTTGTCTCTGCTTTACAATGTCTGGGGTTTGAGCTGGAAGATTGAAAAGCTGGAGTTGGAATCTTCTGAAGGCTTGTTCACTCAGATGTCTGGTGGTTGACACAGTAGGCTGGGTACTGTAATTCGTCTCCATGTGGGTCTATTCATGTGGTCACTCCACACAGGTAGTTTGTGCTTCCTCATAACATGGTGGCTAGGTTCCAAAGGCAAGAATCCCAAGAGATCGAGGTGGAAGCTGTATCATCTTATATGTCCTTCCCTTAGAAGTCATATAGTGTCACTTTTACCACAGTCACAGTACCATCTAGGTTCGATAGAGAACACATCTCATTTATCTCATTTAAAATTAGTAGAAGTAGATAAATGAGTTAAAAATAAGACACACATAAATGTGCCCATGTACACAGTTTTGTTTTTAAACAAAACCAAGATCACATTATATGTACAGTTCTGTAACTTCCTTTTGTAAACACGAAAACACAACGAAAACTAATTTCTTAGACATTTTCCATTTCCATATATGTAAAATCACCTCATTATTTTAAATGGCTGCGAGTAATCCATAGTGGTGATAGACATTTAGTTCATTTTGGTCTTTTTACTATTATTAACAAAGTGCCATTGGAGCGTCCTTGTGACATATACCTTTGTGTACTTGAACATTTTTTAGAATAGATATTGGAGTAGAATTACTGGATTAAAGATTATAGGTACACGTATATATTAAATTTTGATGGATTCTTTCGAGTTGCAAAAATATTGTACATGTTTACATTACCACCTACAGTGTGTAAGAATGACGATTCCCCCTCAACCTGGCCATCACTGGAAATTGTCAACCTTTTAAATTTTTGTTATTTTTATAGGTCAAAAATTTTGCTTTTCAGTGGTAGCACCATCCCCCACCACATAGTCACCTGTATCCTTTTACTCTGCTTCCTTTTTCATCATAGCTTTTGATATAGTATATATTTTTATTTGTCCGTTGCCTGTCTTGCCCTACTAGAACATGATCTACAGGAGAGCAGAAACTTTGTTTACTCTGTATCTCCCACGCCTAGAACAATTGTTAGCACATAATAGGATCACTATAAATATTTGTTGAATGTTTTTTTCATATTTAATTGGCCATTAATCTCCATGACAGAAAAAGGATATCTAAACTACAAACCTTTTCTATAAATGATGTGGTTATGACTGATAATGACAGTGTATCCCAATCAAGTGATCATCTCTTTTAAAGGCAAAGAAAGTTCCTGAATGTAGAATATACAGACTTCAACATATAACATAAAGACGGTAATACCATATGTAACACAGACTTCTAAGTACTGTATTAGTTGAAACTTAGTTGGAGTTTTAAAATTCTTAGATTTAGATGTATCTGACTTCTCTCCTTTTTTTTAATCACTTACTTTTAGAGAGTATCATTTAAATAATAGTTTCTTCTCTGATGTGGAAGCTTCTGGCCCCATTTTAAGATCCGTATCAGAGGTTTCAAACTGGTGGCCCTTGAGGGAATTTGGCTTACAGATGTGTTTTGCTTGGCTTGCATAATACTGGTCAAACAGAAGATTTTCCAACATGGGATCTACATTTCCCTCACGGCAACAACTGGCTGGAACTGAGTAGCATCTGCACCTTGTAGATAAGGTGGTCTCCTGTTTTCTACAGATCGCGCTACTGCCTGTTGTTTACCCAACAGTGAGGCCACCTGTTGGCTACCATTTTTCATTGTGCTTTTGTTTTTCTTACACCTGGTCTGCCTCATTTACTTATGATGCCTTTCAGGCTGCACTGGGAATTTCATAATAATAAACTAAATTTAAAAAATTTAAAAACATTAAAAAAAATCTGCCTAATTACTTGTTAATGTGGTTATTTTCTGAATTTAGTGTCTTCATTGGCTGCTCTGGCGTGAAGCTGATATCACACAAGTAACTATGAGAGGCTGGACAGCAGCTCACATAGCTGCAATCAGGGGTCAGGATGCTTGTATGCAGGTAATAATAACTAACTTTGGTTACATGTTTTTAATTCATTAAGTTTAATTACTTTAGCATAGGCCATCCCTTAGTTTAAGTTATATGTTCTAAACAAGAACTTACTGGACTCTGATACTGTGGTACCAATTATCCACTTAAGCAAATAGTATGAGATCAGATCCTTTTATATGATGAAGTAGTTTCCTGTTTGTTTGTGTTGTTTTGAAGAATGCCACATTCCTTATTTGTTGTTGTTGTGTTGTAGTGACCCTACATACAACAGAACCAAACACTGCCTGGTCCTGTGCCATGCTCACAATTCTTGTTATGCTTAAGCCTATTGTTGCAGGCACTGTGTCAGTCCATCTCGTTGAGGGTCTTCCTCTTTTACACTGACCCTCTACTTTACCAAACGTGATGTCCTTCTCCAGGGATTGATCCCTCCTGACAACATGCCCAAAGCCGTCCTAGCTTCCAAGAAGCATTTTGGTTGCACTTCTTGCAAGACAGATTTGTTCGTTCTTTTGGTAGTACATGGTGTGTTCAGTATTCTTCTCCAACACCACAATTCAAAGGCATCCGTTCTTTGGTCTTCCTTATTCATCATCCAGCTTTACACATGCATATGAGGTGATTGAGAACACCAAGGCTTGGGTCAGGCATACCTTAGTCTTCAAGGTGACATCTTTGCTTTTGAACACTTTAAAGAGGTCTTTTGCAGCAGATTTGCCCAATGCAATGTGTCTTTTGATTTCCTGACTGCTGCTTCCATGAGTGTTGATTGTAGATCCAAGTAAAATGAAATCCTTGACAACTTCAATCTTTTCTCCATTTATCATGATGTTTCTTATTGGTCCAGTCGTGAGGATTTTTGTTTTCTTTATATTGAGGTGTCATCCATACTGAAGGCTGTGGTCTTTGATCTTTATCAGTAAGTGCTTCAAGTCCTCGTTACTTTCAGCAATCAGGGTTGTGTCATCTGCATATTGCAGGTTGTTAATGAGTCTTCCTCCAATCCTGATGACCTGTTCTTTTTCATATAGTTCAGCTTCTCGGATTATTTGCTCAGCATACAGATTGAATAGGTATGGTGAAAGGATACAACCCTGATGCACATTCCTTATTTAGGAATGAGGAAAATCCCCTAATTTTGTTCTTTATAGCTTGCCATGCCTGAAATTTCTTATTTAATGTATTTCCTATATAGGGTAACACATTAATATGTGGCAGAGTCTGGTTTACTAAAGTAACTAGATTTAATTAATATACTGAAATAGACTGGAAAGTCTATTTATATACAAAGTCATATAAGCAAACAGTCCCTGCCTGTAAGAAGCTGAGGTTCTGTTTGGAATGATAGGACCTCTACTCAGTAAGCTAAAAAACAATACAAATCATAGTCTAGGATTAAGGTTCTAATGAAAAGTATAGATGAAAAGTATAGATGAGAACAACTGTACAACTTAGGAGAAAGTAGAGGAATCGTTAATGGAGGATATAAAACTTCAGCTAAGCCTATAAGAATGGGTTGATTTAAAGAGAGAAGTAGTGAGAAGCATTCTAGGGGGAGGATATGTTAGGAGCAAATATAAATAATGGTTGTCATTTATTGAACATATGTGTCAGTCACAGTCTTCCCTGCATCATCTCTTTTAATACAACAATCCTATGAGTTCACCTTTTTACAGATGAGGAAACAGATTCAGAGAGTTTAAGTACCTTGCCTAAGTAAATGACAGAGCCAGGATTTGAACCTAGACTTTGTTCTGTTAACCTCTACTTCTCTGTGAAGGCCCAAAATTGGAAAAATGAGGTATGTTCAGGGGATATCCCATTATATGAGTATGACTGAATTTAGATGGTTTGGGTTGTGGACTATTATTTTATTTTATTTTTCGTATGTTTATTAACCTTTTTTTTTTTTTTATATATTTTATTGTACTTCAGGTGAAGGCTTACAGAACAAATAGTTTCTCTTGAAACAGTAGTACGCATGTTGTTTTATGACATTGGTTAACAACCCCACAACATATTAACCCTCTAACTTCTTGACCTTTTTTTTTTTTGGTGAAAATACACATAGCCAAAGATACACCGTTTCAAAAATTTGTACATGCACAGTTCAGTGACATTGACTACGCTCTTCCAATTGTGCTGTTATTCTCACTTAAGATGAAGGCTTACAGAACAAAATAGTTTCTCATTTAACAGTTACTACAAATGTTGCCCTATGACAATGGTTAACAATCTCACAACACATCAACAATATCCTTACTCAACCTTGGGTTCCCTATCACCAGGTTCCTTGTCCCCTTCTGCCTTCTGGCCCTTGTCACTGGACTCCTGTACCTCTTTAGTCTCATATGGTTTTATGGGGCTGTCCGCTCCCAGGCTGAACAGTGAACCTCGGAGGTAACTTCACCACTGAGCTAAAAGGGTGTCTGGGGGCCATACTCTCAAGGTTTCTCCAGTCTCCTTTAGGCCAGTAAATCTGGTCTTTTTTTTGTGAGTTAGAATTATGCTCTACATCCTTCTCCAGCTCCGTCCAGAACCGTCTGTTGTGATCCTGGTCAGAGCAGTCAGTGGTGGTAGCCGGGCACCATCTAGCTGTACTGGATTCAGTCCGGTGGAGGCCTTGGTAGCTGTGGACAATTAGTCCTTTGGACTAATCTTTTCCTTGTATCCGGTTCTCTTCATTCTCCCTTGCTCCCGAAGGGATGAGACCAGTGGAGTATCTTAGATGGCCGCTCACAGGCTTTTAAGACCCCAGACACTACTCACCAAGGTAGAATGTAGAGCATTGTCTTTATAAACTGTGTCATGCCAGTTGAGCTAGATGTTCCCCGAGACCATGGTTGGTTTGTGGACTATTATGAACTAAGTTTGGATAGGCCAGATTTGTAAAATGTCTTAGAAGGGAATAAAGAGTTTGGATTAAATCATATAGTAAAGAGAGTTTTTATGCATATTCCTCATGGTGCAAATGGTTAATGCACTTGACTGCTAACCAAAAGGTTGGAGGTTCGAGTTCCCCTGGAGGTGCCTAGGGAGAAAGGCCTGGATCTACTTCTGAAAAATCAGTCTGTGGAGCACAGTTCTACTCTGACATATATGGGGTCACCATGAGTTGAAGTCAAGTGGATGGCAACTGGTTTACTGGTCCCCAGATATACACATACATGTGCACTTGGGCATTTACAGGGGAATGAGGTTATGAAATCAGTATTTCAGGAAACTATTTTAGCACCATGTATCCAGGATTAACTGAGATGAAGAGAGAGTTTGGAGGCAAGAAGACCAGTTAGGAGACTTCCTGTAGTCACTAGGGTGAAATTAGGTAGTGCAGTGGGAAAGTGTAAAAATGGCTTGAGGGTAGTGTCTAACCTCCTCTTACTTCACAAGGGGAAAGGAGAATCCAGATCAACAGCTCAAGTTTGACTCCCATGACATGCCTCCTCTCTCTGCCATCTTAACTAATTCTGACACCAACCATCCCTCCCACAGCACTCTACTATGTTTGATAATTCATTGCAATGGCCACACAGAACTTACAGACCGTACTTAAAATTATGGGGTTTATTAGGGAAGTAACAGTTACACTTCAGGCTCAAGAACACTCAGGATACAGTTCTTCCATCAGGATAGCATCTCCTCAGCCGTGCTTGCAGGCATGCCTCTCCCTGGCCTTCAGTCTTTGCCCAAAGGCACTCAGCTTTCTCTCTTCATGGGCCAGGAAGCTCACCACGATGTCTCCTGCTGCCAGATTTCTGCTGCTGGGTCTCTCTTGCTGGTCTCTCCTTTCTTGTTGGTGGTAGGTTCCTCCTCTCTGCTGTGGAATTGGCTCTCTTTCAAGGCAAAACTGACCAATCCCATTGGTAGGCCACAATTACCCTATCACACAGTCATTTGGGTGGGAGTTACAAGACCATGGATAGAAAGGCCACGCACAAAAGTAATTAATCTACCGCAGAAAGGAAATGATTCAAGACATTTGCAACGTGGGCATTGACAGAGTATAATGAGTATAATGAAAACTTAAAGTTTGAGTCAGAATAACAGATCATTATATACCGTGGATATAAATGAGAAATTAAAAAGGCAAGGGAGATTTGAAGAAAAATATGTTGAGTTGAATTTGGCACGTTGAGTTTAACGAGCCTGTACGTCATCCAGGTAGAGAAAGTCCAGGCAGTTGAAAAAGGGGGCTGAAGACAAAGATTTCAGGAGGTTACAAGTAAGAAAGTATAGAGGAGAGTGTAAAGTGTTGAGGATTTAATGTTGAAGAATGTTAATAATAGAGATGGGAGGAAGCAGAGAAATGAGTAAAGAATTCAGAGAAGGAAGGTCGGAGAGATAGGAGAGCCAGGATCAATGAGGGCTATGGAGGTAAAGGAAGAAGTTAAAGAAGGTAGGCAGAGCATCAGTGCAGGATAAATCTAAGGCAAATCATCTTAAGGAAAGGCATTGAACTTGGTGAATGAGAGCTCACGATAGGGAGAGAGGTTAGGTATATTTCTGTGCCCTGGGAGGGATGGCAACCAGTTTGCAGGTGGATTTGAAGTTGCGGTATTGAGGTACTAATTTGAGAAGCTAGACAATGAAAGGAAGGAGAGAATACAGTAGTAACTTTAGGGGTCATCAGGGTCAAATGAAACTACCCGATACTTTCCTTCCTCCAATCATTAATTCAGACCACTCCTGCCTTGATTGTCCTCCCTTCCTCAAAGTGATCTCTTCCTTCTCAGACTTCTTGTGGTGTTTTTTTTGTACTGACGGAAACGCTGGTGGCGTAGTAGTTAAGAGCTATGGCTGCTAACCAAAAGGTCGGCAGTTTGAATCCACCAGGTGCTCCTTGGAAACCCTGTCCTATAGAGTCACTATGAGTCAGAGTCGACTCGACGGCAATGGGTTTTTTTTTTTTTTTTGTACTATTCTATGTAGTTGTTGCTTATCAAGGACTGCTTTGTATACTTGATTATCTCTGCCTCTACTTATGTCCTAATTCCCTAACTGGATGATACGTTGTCATATTCTTCATAGTGACTCATTACATAATAAACACTCAATGTATGGTTTATGATGATTATTGAGTAATTATGGGAGTCAGACGCAATCACGGAGACTGTTCTTCCTACAACTCTTGATGGGAATTATGACCGAGTAAACGGCATAGTAGTTAAGAGCTATCACTGCTAACCAAAAGGTCTGCAGTTTGAATTTACCAGGCGCTCCTTGGAAACCCTATGGGGCAGTTCTACTCTGTCCTGTAGGGTTGCTATGAGTTGGAATCGAGTCGATGGCAACGGGTTTTTTTTTATTTTTTTAAACTTTTGTTGATATACTGGTTAATGTTGACTGGTTAATAAAAAAGGGCTGAGGTAGAAAAAACTGAAAAATATTAATTCTTTTAAACCAGTTACTCCATGTATTATATAGAGGGGTGTGCTACATATATATGACATAACCCATATACAGAAACTGGGCCAATTGTAAATTTAGATGGAGTTTCAGAAGCTTGATTTGGAGCTCGTTATGAGTTGATTTTTGACTCATAGTAACCCCATGTGACAGAGTAGAACTTCCCCATAAGGTTTTCTAGGCTGTAATCTTTAAGGGAACATATTATCAGGTGTTTCTCCTTCAGAGCTGCTGATGTTTTGAATTTCAGTTAGCAGCTGGGTGCTTAACTGTTGTGCCACCAGGGCTTCTTGATTTGGAACTTAGAGCTAGTTAATTTAATAATGAAATCCTTTTATTACGTTCAAAACCCAGCTGATAAAAGTTTCTGCTTTTGAAATAGTGCAAGTTTAAATTTCAGTTTTAACTTAGCATTAATAAATATTTAACTTGGTAATTATTAATCTGTACTTATGAAAAGTGTGCCTTATAAATTATATGTATATACTCAGATCAGAGTGTGAAATCAGGTATTATATTATAAATGACTCCTAGGCAATGTCCAGAAAGCCCTCAAGCATTTTCGTAGGATAAGCTAAGAACTTCTCACATTTTTCCTGTAGCACATATATAAATACATATGTAATAATTTAGCTATAGATTAATAAATTGTTTGCCTTAAAGAAATCCACATCTGAGATTATATTTAGCAACTATACTCATGTAAACACAAATTGTCTCTTCTCTATTTTTAGGCTCTTATAATCAATGGAGCAAATCTGTCAGCTCAGGATGATCGTGGATGCAATCCTTTACATCTTGCTGCGACCCATGGACATTCTTTCACTTTACAGATAATGCTCCGAAGTGGTGTGGTGAGGGGTTCCTGTTAATGTGTGAGAATGTGTAATCGTATAGATGGAATAGCATTTGGTAGTCTGGTTATCTCTTCCTGATTTTTTAAATCCCTTACGTCACTTTGGGGAGGTAATTTAATCTTTCTCTTTAACTTTTTCATCTTTAAATATGGGAGCAGTAACTCAGATGAACTTCAAAACAATTAGATTAATCTCCCAAGACAGCAGTTTAGTAGTACAAAACATTTCAGGGACTTTGGGTTCTTTATGTCAGTTCAGAGTTTAAGTGGGAAGATTCTGAAGCTTCCGAATAAATTTTAACAAGGTGATTGCAAATCTTCATAATTTTCTGTTTCTGCTTATGTGTTTCTTTTGTAATTCTTCTCTCTCATGCACTAGTAATTTAGAAAGTGATTTATATCTCTAGAAACTTCATTTATTCATCACAATTTTATTTTTAATATTACCTAAAACCCGTTGCCATTTAGTCGATTCCGACTCATAGTGACTCTACCTAGTGGTTGTAAAAAAACAGATTCTTTTAAGAAAGGAATTGTGAATTTTGAGGATATTATACTAAGAATTGATGCTTCTATAGTTAGAAAATCAGTGAAAAACCTATTAAATACTTGTTCATTAACTCTTTGTTTATACTGTCAATGATATGATCCCTTAATCCATCTCTCTCATTTTACGGGTCAAGAAACTGCAACCAGCAAAATGACTAGTTAAGTTTCTTTTTTGCAAACTATTTTACGTGACTAGTTATGTCCTTTTAAAAAAGGCTATTTTATAAAATTTCACTAGTATCTTATTAATGCATATGTTCAAACTAACGGTTGCAGTTTAAATTTTTGTGAGGTCCACTTTTTCTGTTATATTTAGTGCTTGCCTTTAAGTTTTAAGAACAGCCTTAGATTCTCATTTGTAGAATTAAGATGCTAGGCTTAGTGTTTCCTTACAAAGTGGAAGGAAACTGAATCTTTGTGAATGTTACCTCTAGGATCCCAGTGTGACTGATAAGAGAGAATGGACACCTGTACATTATGCGTCTTTTCACGGGAGGCTTGGCTGTTTGCAACTTCTTGTTAAATGGGGATGTGGCATAGAAGATGTGGACTGCAATGGAAACCTTCCAGGTAAGTAACAAAAGCAAATATTTTGGATTTTCATTAATGTAAACTTCTTAATGTTTGCACATATTTAAGGAAGTTAAACTTCTTAATGTTTGCACATATTTAAGGAATTTAAACTATCATCATTCTATCAGTCCCGCACAAAACTAAAGTGGTAAATATGTTAACATGCACATTTTTTAATCTTAAATCTTGCCATGTTCTATAAAAAAAATCCATTGCCATTGAGTCGATTCCAACTCATAGTGATACTACAGGACAGAGTAAAACTGCCCTATAGGGTTTCCAAGGCTGTGCACGTGTTTTGCCACATCTTTCTCCCATGGAGTGACTAGTGGGTTCGAACAGCTGAGCTTTTGGTTAGCAGCTGAGTACTCAACAATTGCACCACCAGGGCTCCTTTCCCATGCTGTATACTCATCTCAAACGTTTCTGTTTGTCTTTTAATGTGATTAATTTCTTTTCTTTTTTCTTCCTTTGGAACTATATCAGCAAAAGAGGAATTGGCAAAATTAAACTTGGAATCTATCTTTCTACCAGCTGTTTCCTTCATCTGCTGTCTAGTGTTATTTTCTAACTTCATATCTGTCTGCCCCACACACTACTTTTTTTTTTTTAACAGTATGAATAGAGGACACAAATGTATTTGCGTTAATTTGATAACTTCATTGTCTAGTCTGCAGTCAACTGGCTAGTTGAGACCTAGCCTCTAAACACCCTTTCTTTCTTTAAGAAGTAGCAATACAAGGCAGCATAAGCTAAGGCCTGAGGAAGTGATGCAGAAAGTAAGTGCTGTAGAAATTCAGATCACAGTGAGGTTAGAGTGAGGGTTATTGAAAATACTTGAATTGTATCTTAAAGAAATATTAAGAATCAAAAAAATGAAGGAGAAGGCCAGGCAGAATGGTATGAGCAGGTCTGATCAAGGTACTTTGCTACTGAAAACTCCATGGATCCCTTTGAAGCTCTAATTCCTTAGCTTGGCATCCTGGACCCTTCATAATTTGGTTCTTACTTAACCTTCCTGGCTTCATCTCTAATCCCTTCACACTTCCTTCAGGGTCCTTTTGCTTCTTTCTGAAGTACATCCTTTAGTGATCCTTTAGTGAGGGTCTGTTGGTATAAACTCTCAATTTTTATTTACCTGAAAAATAACTCTATTTCGCCCTAGGTCATTTTTTAAAAGTTTTTTTAAGAAGTAAGAATTTAAATTGAAATGTAACATGCATACAGATAAGTACCCAATTCAAGTGTACAGCTTATTGAATTTTCACAGGTGAACATTTCTTTGTAACCATCCCCCAGATTAAGAAATAGACTATTACCAGCACTCAGTTCTCATGTCCTTTCCCCAGTTACTCCCACCCTCCAAAGTTAATCACTACCTTGACTTCTAACACCATAAATTAGTTTTTTCTCTTTTTGTACTTCATGGAATAAAATCATACATCAGTATTCTTTTGTGTCTGGTTTCTTTTGCTTTTCCTACCAATTTACATACCCACTAGCAGTGTGTAAGAGTTTCAGATGCTCTACTTTCTTATTAACATTTGTTATTATTAGTCTTTATTATTTTAATCATTCTTCGGGGTATGTAGTTACATAGATATCTAACTGAAGTTCTGATGTACATTTCTTGATGACTAATGTTGAACAGCTTTTCATATGCTTATTGGCCATTTGGTTTCTTCTTTTGTGAAATACTGGTTCAAATCTTTTGCCAGTTTTTCTATTGGTTTGTCTGTCTTTTAAGAAAAAAGTTTTCTCCGCTCTTTGGTCATGAAGACATTCTTCTGTATTATCTTGTAGAAATTTTATTGTTTTACTTTCACATTTAGATCCTAACCCACATGGAACTGACTTTTTTGTGTATAATGCAACGTAGGGGTAAAGTTTCATTTTTGGTTTTCATGTGACTACCCAGTTGACACAACTCTATATATTGATATTGACAAGACTGTACTTTCGCTTAGTGCTTTGCAGTTGGCACCTTTGTCATATACTGGCACCATCTCTGTGTGGATTTGTTTTTGGACTCTCTGTTTTGTTCTTTGGGTCTGTTTGTCCTTATGGTAGTACTACACTGTCTTAATTACCGTAGCTTTATAAGTCTTGGATTTTAGGAAGGGAAGCTCTCCTACTTTGCTATTCTTCTTTAAGGTTGTTTTGGTTCTTCTTGACCCTTTGCAATTTTCGTGTAGAATCAGCTTGTAAATTTTTACCAAAAAACTGCTGGGAGTTTGGTTGGGATTTTATTAAATCTACAGATCGATTTGAGGATAACTGACATTATTATTTTGAATCTTCCAATTCATAATCATAGCATATCCCTCTACTTATTTTGATCTTGTTTAATTTATCTCAGTAACGCTTTGTAGCTTTCTGTGTAGAGGTATTACATCTCTTTTGTTGGGTGTTTTAATTGTTATTTAATTTTTGTGGCATTTGTAAATGATATTTAAAAATATTTTCAAAGTCTTATGTAAAAATACAATCGATTGATTGTTGTTGTTAGATGCCGTTGAGTTGGTTCTGACTCATAGTGACCCTGTGTACTACAGAACGAAACACTGCCCAGTCCTGCGCCATCCTCATAGTCATTGTTAAGCTTGAGCCCATTGTTGCAGCCACTGTGTCACTCCATCTTGTTGAGGGTCCTCCTCTTTTTTGCTGACCCTGTACTTTACCAAATGTGATGTCCTTCTCCAGAGATTGATCCCTCCTGACAACATGTCCAAAGTATGCAAGACGTAGTCTCACCATCCTTGCTTCTAAGGAGCATTCTGGTGATACTTCTTCCAAGACAGATTTCTTTGTTCTTTTGGCGGTTCATGGTATATTCAATATTCTTCATCAACACCACAATTCAAAGGCATCAATTCTTCTTGGGTCTTCCTTGTTCGTGGTCCAGCTTTCGCATGCATATGAGGCGTTTGAAAACACCATGGTTTGGGTCAGGTGCACCTTAGTCTTCAAGGTGACATCTTTGCTTTTTAACACTTTAAAGAGGTCTTTTGCGGCAGATTTGCCCAATGCGATGTGTCTTTTGATTTCTTGACTGCTGCTTCCATGGGTGTTGATTGTGGATCCAAGTAAAATGGAATCCTTGACAACTTCAATCTTTTCCCTGTTTATCATGACGTTGCTTATTGGTCCAGTTGTGAGGACTTTTGTTTTCTTTATAATGAGGTGTAATCCATGCTGAAGGCTGTGGTCTTTGATCTTCATTAGTAAGTGCTTCAAGTCCTCTTCACTTTCAGCAAGCAAGTTGTGTCATCTGCGTAATGCAGGTTGTTAATGAGTCTTCCTCCAATCCTGGTGCCCCATTCTTCTTCATACAGTCCAGCTTCTTGGATTATTTGCTCAACATACGTAGCTGACCTCATGGCAACCCTGTAAGATGGAGTGGAACTGCCCCATAGGGTTTCAAGGAGTGGCTGATGGATTCAAACTGCCGACCTTTTGGTTAGCAGCCAGTCTCTTAACCACTGCACCACCAGGGCTCCTCTTGTCATATAGTAAGTAATAAATTATTATAGAGAATTTACAAATCTATTAATGATAAAAACAACATCATTCATATCTATATAGTGACTATTTTGGTTTCTCTCTGCCTGTATTCCCAAAATACTAAATTTTGTTTGTTTTTTACTTATATAACAAGCATTTGATGTTATAAACTGTATAATTGGGATTTCAGTTTCTAAGATAATTTTCTTGGGCTTACTCTTTAGTGATCCTCAGGTGGTCTGTCTATACCTACAGTAAGTGTAACTATTCAGTGATTTAGTCCTCTGCTTTGGGATGACAGGAAGGTTGAATGAGTAAGAAGAAGCAGGCTGAAAAAAAGGTCTGTTCTCCTTGATAAGGGTAAGACCTTGTTGTATGGGGCAGCGATAGTCATCTCCCTATAAGAATTAGAGCCAGTGTGTTATTTCTTTTTTCAAGTTAATTTCTATTTTAAAATTCTTTTTCCCCCCTCTTACCTGTAGTTCATTTAGCAGCCATGGAAGGCCACCTTCACTGTTTTAAATTCCTACTCAGTAGAATGAGCAGTGTAACACAAGCATTAAAAGCCTTCAATGATAATGGAGAAAATGTACTGGACCTGGCACAGAGGTTCTTTAAACAGAGCATCTTACAGTTTATCCAGGGGGCTGAATATGAAGGAAATGATCCAGAAGATCAGGAAAGTAAGTATGTAAACCTGAAATGTTTTAGCATATATAAGGTAAATGTTATATTAAAATTTATTACATACCATTGCCCACACATTCATCCAGATTCTTTTCTTTGTTATGAAATATTTTAGCCACTAATATAGAGAAATCAACATAATAAGCACTGTTAATACCACTGATTTGAAGAATATAATATTGTAGATACAGTTGAAGTTCCTTGAATCTCCTTCTCTAATATCATTACCTTTTATTCTCTCTCAGAGGTAACTATCATTTTGGATTTATCATTTCAGTCTTTGGTTTTATATATTAGATGATAATGTATATACTCACAAAAATATACAGAAAATGTGTAGTTTTTTTTGTGTGTGTGTCTGCTATAACAAAGAAATCCTAAAATTCAGTGGCTTAAATGACATGAAAGTTTATTTCTCTTATGTGACAACCAAGGTTGGAGAGTGAATCTCTTCTACGTAGTGATTCAGGTACCTACTGTCTTCCAGGCTCTTTCTAGTTGTTGATAATTCAGGTAGGAGTGGAGAGGAGGGAGCAGAGGTATATGTCTAGGACCAGAGATTCCCAAGGTGGAAGTTGCACTCATCACTTCTGCTAACATTGCATTGGCAAGAGTTTAGCCATATGGCCATACCTAGCTGCAAGAAAGCCTAGCTGGAGAATTCAGTACCTAGCTGGAAAGTTTCAGCAGCAACTCTATTATAGAGTGCCAGACCTAGAGGGATTCTTGGAAGTCATTATGTATACATTTCTTATTTTACTGGAGGGGAAACTGAGGCTTAGAGAGAAGTTAGTTACCCCAGTGCACATGTTGTTAGGTGCCATTGAGTTGGTTCTGACTCCTAGCAGCCTCATTTAAAACAGAACGAAACACTGCCCAATCCTGTGCCATCCTCAGAATCGTTGCTATGGTTGAACCCATCTTTGTGGCCCCTGTGTCAGTCCATCTCATTGAGGGTCTTCCTCTTTTTTGCTGACCCTTAACTTTACCAAGCATGATGTCTTTCTCTTGGGACTGGTCCCTCCTGATAACATGTCCAAAGTATGTAAGACAAAGTCTCACCATCCTTGCTTTAAGGAGCATTCTGGTTGTACTTCTTCCAAGACAGATTTGTTTGTGCTGGTAACCCATGGTATATTCAGTATTCTTCTCCACAATTCAGAGGCATCAGTTCTTCTTCAGTCTTCCTTATTCATGGTCCAGCTTTCCCATACGTATGAGGCAAAGGGCAATACCATGATTTGGGTCAGGCGCACCTTAGTCCTCAGAGTGACATCTTGGCTTTTTAACACTTTAAAGAGGTCTTTTGCAGCAGACTTGGCCAATGCAATACGTCCTTTGATTTTTTTTTTTTTTAAATTGTACTTTAGATGAAGGTTTACAGAACAAACTAGCTTCTAATTAAACAGTTAGTACATATATTGTTTTATGACATTGGTTAACAACCCCATGACATGTCAAACACTCTCCCTTCTTGACCTTGGATTCCCTATTACCAGCTTTCCTGTCCCCTACTGCCTTCTAGTCCTTGCCCCTGGGCTAGTGTGCCTCTTTAGTCTTGTTTTGTTTTATGGGCCCGTCTAATCTTTGGATGAAGGGTGAACCTCAGGAGTGACTTCATTACTGAGCTAAAAGGGCGTTTGGGGGCCATACTTACGTCCTTTGATTTCTTGACTGCTGCTTTCATGGGCGTTGATTGTGGATGCAAGTAAAATGAAATCCTTGACAACTTCAATCTTTACTCTGTTTATCATGATATTGCTTATTGGTCTGGTTATGAGGATTTTTGTTTTCTTTATGTTGAGGTGTAATCCATACTGAAGGCTGTATGTAGTCTTTGATCTTCATCAGTAAGTGCTTCAAATCATCTTTGCTTTCAGCAAGCAAGGTAGTGAGTGTAATCTGCATATCACAGGTTGTTAATGAGTCTTCGTCCAATCCTGAGGACCCATTCTTCATACAGCCCAGCTTCTTGGACTGTTTGCTCAACATAGAGATTGAATAAGTATGGTGAAAGAATTCAACCCTGATGCACACCTTTCCTGACTTTAAACCACACAGTATCCCCTTGTTCTGTTTGAACGACTGCCTCTTGGTCTATGTACAGGTCCACATGAACTCAATTAAATGCTCTGGAATTCCCGTTCTTCACAATGTTATCCGTAATTTGCTATGATCCATACAGTCGATCGCCTTTGCATAGTCAATAAAACAGTTAAACATCTTTCTGGTATTTCCTGCTTTCAGCCAAGATCCATCTCACATCAGCAGTGATATCCCTTGTTCCACGTCTTCTTTTGAATCTGGCTTGAATTTTGGACAGTTCCCAGTTAATGTACTGCTGTAGCCATTTTTGAATTATCTTCAGCAACATTTTACTTGTATATGATATTAATGATATTTTGTTTATAATTTTTGCATTCCATTGTATCACCTTTCTTTGGAATTGGCGTAAATATGTATCTCTTCTAGTCAGTTGACCAGGTAGGTGTCTTCCAAATTTCTTGGCATAGATAAGTGAGCTCTTGCAGCATTGCATCTATTTGTCGAAGCATCTCAGTTGATATTCCATCAATTCCTAGAGACTTGTTTTTCACCTTTAGTGCAGCTTGGTCTTTTTCCTTCCATACCATTGGTTCTTGATCATAAGCTGCCTCCTAAAATGATCGAATGTTGACCAATTCTTTTTGGTACAGTGACTGTATATTCCTGCCATATTCTTTTGATGCTTCCGGTGTCATTCAATATTTTGCTCACAGAGTCCTTCAATTTTGCAGTTTGAGGCTTGAATTTTTTCTTCATTTCTTTCAGCTTGAGAAATGCCAAACATGTTCTCCCCTTTTGGTTTTCTAACTTTACATCTTTGCACGTTTCATTATAATACTTTACTTTGTCTTCTCTAGCTGCCCTTTGAAATCTTCTGTTCAGCTCTTTTACTTCATCATTTCTTCCATTCGCTTTAGGACTCAGTGCTCAAGAGCACGTTTTAGATTTTCTTCTGACATCTGCTATGGTCTTTTCCTTCCTATCTTTTTAATTACCTTTTGCTTTCTTCATATATCATGTCCTTGATGTCATCCCACAGCTCGTGTGGTCTTTGGTCATTAGTGTTCAATGTGTCAAATCTTTTCTTTCCTTTTTTTTTTTATCGTACTTCAGGTGAAGGCTTACAGAACAAATAGTTTCTCATGAAACAGTAGTACACATATTGTTTTATGACATCGGTTAACAACCCCTCAACATGTCAACCCTCTCCCTTCTTGAGCTTTTTTTTTTGGTGAAAATATACATAGCCAAAGATACACCATTTCAAAAATTTCTACATGCACACTTCAGTGACATCGACTATGCTTGTCCAGTTGTGCTGCTATTCTCACTTTAGATGAAGGCTTACAGAACAAAATAGTTTCTCATTTAACAGTTACTACAAATGTTGCCCTATGACAAT